ACAAGAAAAATACTAAGAGATAAGATTACATTAGTAGCATACTCTAGCATTATAGTGCATGACATGGGCATACTATTATGTTATATCCTGCTGTTGCTTTATAATACACAATTCACACAGATTAAATAAATAAATGTTACACTAAGTGCTAATGCACTTCAAAATATTCTTACATAAAAAATCCTGTGGTCCATGGATTATTATATTATTTTAAAAGGTATGCTTGGAGACAGAGGTTTCTGTCTGTAACCTTATTTTGTACACTTGTACATTTAGGTTTGCACCTGTAAACTTAATTTTGTAAGCTTGTACACTGAGGTTTCTGCCTGCAAACTTTGTTCTAAAGGTTTGCACATTCATTCTCAGGCTTACAAACATACTGTATTTTCACAAGCTGCAGGAGTCAAAAAACTTGTTTCTTGACACATTTACCGTACTATGTTTTGTAAGCACAGTTTTGTAAAAGAATCACATGGTCCATAAGAGGAGGGGCTGAGATGATTAACTTATCACCAATCAGCATTTTTGGAGCCGCTGCAGGGCACGTAATTGGTTACGTTGGTCTGTCAATCATGTGATAGTCGACTGCCGCTGGGAGCTAGGCCATACTGACAGCCCAGCTGAACCCCAGACCTCCCAAATGTACAAGTTTACATAATTAAGTTTACAGGTACAAACTAAAATATACAAGAATACAAAATAAGTATACAGATACAAACCTACGTTTCTAAGCACACCTTTTTATATAATATAGTACTCCATAGGGGTCTCCTTAGAGATGAGAATAGCCATTATATCTGCCAGGATGACAGCAAAGAAACATATGCACCTTCTCTAGCCCAGTTAATTATCAGCTCACACCATAATTAAGGCTGAAACATGTAGATGAGCATACATAATTAGCAGGCATTATGCAGTCCTAATGGGGGGAGTGAACAGGTGAACCTAGTGAACATGTATTCAGTCATCAGTTTATGAGCTAAGGATACTACAGTGGTACAGGAGAGTAAAGTTGATTACGTATGACCAAAATGTGTCCTTTCCCACAGTATATTGCCTTGAAAGTAAATGTAATGTGGTAGAGCTTGGGCAATGGGAATGCTGCAGTGTTACTGAGTAATCAAATCTACACATTTCATGTATGGCTGAGAGAGCTGTTGATATGACAGGATCGGAACGGAATAAATTCTCATACAGAACACATACAGTATATGCTGTATGGTATAAGATACAATATATTGTATGTGACATTTAGGCAATACACACACTAGTGCCTCAGTAATCAAAATGTAACTAACAATGTGGTGCATTATTGGCCTTTAGGGAAAAATCATTGATCATCCTGTGAGTATTGGTGCTGTGCCTTGTTTATGATGAGACATGAGAGGGCTAGGAAGCATTTGATCTTGTGTGGAGCACCTAATAATTGGGCACGTCATCACTGAATGAAACAATACTCCCAACGGCAGAAGCAATCCTGTCCAACATGACACGTCCTAAAATACAACAGTAGTAAATTTGGCACAGTGTATTAAAACAAAACAAAACAAAACAAAAAAAACTGCTGTGACTTTGCGTTTTTCTCTTCTATGTCTAACATAAAAGAGACATATTTTAAAAACAAGAACCAATTAATGCAGCTTACCAGTTATCTTTAAGAGCATTTGTGCCCTTGCTCATTTCCCGCACAAGTATGGGATGCAGGGTTGTGGGTGAGGGTGGAAGGGCATTTAATTTGTTGAGAAGAATCCACTTCATTTCGGGTGGCCCAATGAAAGTGAGATCAAAAGATTAGTTAATATTTAAAAACATTTATTAAACACAATGCTGATTGTGAGCAAACAGCAGAATTACACAGGATCCTTGCAGGCCACTGGCTAAGGCTGATAAGCTCCCATTAAAAGGTTGCAGTATCACATAGGCACCACTCAGGGCCTTGCTGGGAACAGAATAATATTTATTCCCACTCTGTTTGAAATCTAATTGTGATTTAACAGATCAGCCAGGGTTTTCTTAAGAGATAGCACATTGCCTTAGCATGAGTCTAATGGATGAGTGTTGAACCTCCTGCCGTGTGAGCAACACAGCTTGTAGGAATTGATGTTGGACGTGGGCTGTGAGCAGTTCAGTAGACCTTGCTGCAGCACTGAAACAAAATGCCCTTGTCCCTACATTGGGACTATTTCAGGAAGGACAATGCGAACATTCTGTGTTGATGATGAACAACCAGATATACAGTTGATCATTGAGGAGGTGATTTGTTTTGAAGGTCAAAGAATCCATCTGTTTTCTGGTCACATATTCAATATAACTATAGATTTTGTAGCCTCAGCAGCTTGAAACAGTGCACAGCACATGCCCTGCAGGAAATGTATCATCATAGTTTGTACTGAAGCCTTTAAAACAAGACATAGAGGGCTTTCAGGTGATGTAACACACCATCTCAGCAATTAGGCAATAGTGGCTGCTAGCCACTGGATTGAATTTCTAAACCTGCAGCTTCACTCCAACTGGAACATAATATGTGATACTGACATATTTGATACACTGGTCATTTAAATATCGATGCACTTGACTGATTTTATGTTTTGTTAATGTATGTTGTTGGGTGCCTGAAGATGTTCTTAGCATAATGGCCAAAAGGATCCAGGGTTAGCAAAGCCCTGTAAGTGCATGCCCAGCTATCCCTTTGAAATGCAGCATACTGTAAAACAGAACTAAATGGAAAAAGTAGGTGGCTTGTAGCTTACTACAAGCTTGCCACAAGGGCATGCGCAGAGGTCAGAAGATGAGCAAGGTTTAATCTCCTGTCTCAGTGTCTCTTTCTCATTAATTTCCAAAATCAACATGGTCATGCAAAATAGTTCTTTTCTAGCATAACCTGTCCCTAAGACAGTCAGAGGGCTAACCCTCTGCAGAGCCTTCTGTTAGAGGCCTGCTGTTCCCCAAGCTTAAGGGCTAGGCAAGTGTCATGGAGCAGGGAGAGGGAAGGGAGGGAGCAGCAGAGTGATTTGCTTTGTCCAGTACTTCTATATTGTTGCTTAAAGGTAGAAAAGCATTTTATAATTGCAGTCAGTTTACCATTTACTGTGGTTTTACTGGGCAGCTCAAAAGTATGAAAGTGTGTACCTGTGTGACTATAAGCAAAACATTTAGCAAAAAAAAGTGCTTTCAATGACCACCCTGAATGAATAATGGTTAAACATATTTTACTGTATGATACCTTTTATGAAACAATATTATGATTAAAGTAAGGTGGCAAACATTAATGTTACAAGAAATCATACCTGTATTTTTAAAAGGCCTAATGTAATTTAATAAATAATGGCTTCATAGCGCTCATAGTGACAGTAGCATTAAATTAGCTTACATTTTCTGGTAATACTGCCAGCAACAGAGCAAGCAAGAAAGAGATGTGGGCACTACGCTTACTAATTTTAGTATTGCTGACTTGAACAGCAGTACTTTTCAGTATTTGTGACATTGCCACAATGATGGGAAGGGAAGCAAAGTGGCCATCAAACAAGCAACAGTCCTTATCTGAAGACTGTTACTCTAGTAGGTTATCACAGGCCAGCTGTCCACCCAATCACTGCCAAGACCTTTCTTGGATATCTCTGAGACTGGTTCTTGTAAAAGTGCATGTGTGTGTGTGTGTGTGTGTGTGTGTGTCCTCTCGCATTTCCGCCTATTCTTCGCTGGATCATTCTTGCCTCCTCATCCTCTCGTCCCCACGCCCGGTGGTGTTCCTCACTGTTTTCTTCATTCATGTTTACACGCCCTGAGTTTCGTCCCTACTACCTTCGTTTCGGCCAGGTTTGTTTTCTGAGTTTGCTCCATGGTTGTTTCTATGTCTCTCGGTTACTCTGCCCCTTTTGGTTTGCATTGTGTATTTAGTCATTTTGTGTTCTTTCCTCATCTTTAGTGTTCTGTGTTTTCTGTTAGCCAGCTACGCTGTGTACTTACCTGACTGACTTACTTCTCACCTATCTGTCCTGGTCCTTTGTTTCCTGCCTGCTCTCCACACACTCAGGTCCTCCTGTTACCTGCCATCACCAGTCACCTACCTGCACATCCTGATCCTCTGGTCCTCCTGTTACCTGCCATCCTCCTGCCAACTCACCTGCCTGCCGTGGTCCTCTGTCCATCCTCATCTCTGCTGCTTCCCCAGTCCTCCTGGTTCCTTGCCCCAGTCCTCCTGGTTCTTGCTTGACCTAACCTGCGTTACCTGGTGTTCTTCCTGCCAGCCCCGTGCCTGCTCGACCTCCTGCCACCCAGCATAATTTATTTATTTAATAAACTTATTTCTATAGTTACTCCTGCTCTGATTCCTGAGTCTACTTCTGGGGTCCAAATCACATGCACAACCCATGATGATGGCTACTGATCACTATTGTTTACATAGCTAACCTGGTTTTTAGTGGTGCAGCAATCAGTACGCACCTACATCACTCATGGTTCCTATTGTGCTTGAAGAGTACCTACCCTGAAGTAGGACCTAAAAAGTGTGTGCTAAGAATTGTTATTGTTCCTAGTTCCTGCGGTGCGGACAAAGGAAAGGGGGTACTTTGTCCAATAGTTCTAAGAACTATGAAAAAGTCCAAAAGCACCTATAGATGGGAGCTTAAAGCCTATCTGCAGACACAAGCCTAGCCCTAGACAGGAAGTTCAATACTGACTGATTCTGCAAACTCCAGAGTATGTTTAGTGCCATTATTTTTTTCATCCAATGCCAACATTTTTAAAACTCTGCTTTCTACAATGTCTGTGCATGACAACTACAGTGTGGTTAAGACTGGGATAAGATAATTAACAAAAGGTTAACATTAGATATACTCTGTGCATGACTTTCGGATGGGCTACAAAACCATCTACCACCCTTATCTTTGCTTCATTTTATAAAGGGCACACTACTTCCTGCATTGGCACTGAACACTGGTACTGGACTAAATTGTGAGGTGCAAAATCTTACAGTAGGTGTAACCTGGGTAAAAATACTATGTATTATAGTTAAACATCCTTTGAAACTGCATCGCTTTTGAGCATTAGTTACTATAAGTAAATTGATTTCATAAGATAAATATGGTTAAAAGCTTTACGGTGACTTATTTCATGTTATTTTGAAGGTTCAAGGAAGTGTGTATAAAATATCATTATTGGTCATCCATTGGTAAAGGTAGTGACACCCAGGGAAAGGGGAGAAGAAAAAAAGGAGGGGGGGTAGTGAAAAAGAAAAAAATTTTATGCAGATGTGAAATATGCTAAGTATGTGGACTGTATCTTAGATTGTCAACTTGAGGATCTACTGTAAGATATTTGTCCTACATTGTTTGGAGTACATGACTGGATATTCTTAGGCACGGAGTTATCTTGGAGTTGTGTAACGTTATTGTGTCTAGCTTCGTAGCATAACTAGCTATCTTGTTAGCATTCTTTAGCTAAATGAATGTTGGTATCGGTAGTATACCCAACTTGGCTTACTCCCAAGAATGTATTCATTTTTTCTGACCTGAAATTCATGGACATTATCAGAGACAGTGCTACGTGAGTGACCAGTTAGATGGTACAACAGAGCCCGCTACTCCGGACCTTCCTGCTACTGTTTGCACCTGCACCTGAGGACTTGTGATTACTTCACTGTTGGAGGGCTAGTGTCACCCTTTTTTGTCATTTCTTTGGACACACGGAGGAGGTAAAGCTTCAGTCTTTGGACTACGAACTACTAAGTAAGGTACCGTTTTTATTTGGCTCTTATGAGTGAAATGGCTGCTTAGTTTTTGGCCTCATCACACCCGAGCATCCATCAGGCCTGCAACGGAGGTTAAACTTCAGTGTACAGGCTGATGTATCGTGAGTGTATGTGGTGTGTGGGCCCACTATATTTGTGTGTTTATTTGAAACATGGAAAATTGTGTTTTACAGAGAAATATAAATATATTTGCAAAAGGGATTGTTATTGTTTATGGTTTACCCTGATTTTTCTATTGAGTAAATTAAGAAGCATTAACTCTAGAATGTGTTTGGTTATTGCATACAGTACTTGTAGGACCTAAGGGCATATAATGTAGAGAGGTTTATTAGAGATTTAAGATTTATCAGTTATAGTTACTGTGAGTTAACTGAACTCAGGGCCTTTACCTTATAGGTGGGTTACATAGGGATTCTGAATATGAATTCTCACTGCTTGCATCCTGTCTCCTCCCAGTGATCAGTGCCTAAATTAAGCCACACCTTGGCCACAGGAGGAAATAGATGTGAGGCATTTTCGAAGGGCCTAGCATAAACATATATTGAAAGAACTCCACTGGCATTCAGAAGGAACCTATACTATTTTTTGCTACTTTTTCAGTATGATTCAGGGAGGTATCTTTTTTATTCTGTGCTGCACATTACAGGTTTGTATTGTCACAAAAAAGCAGCTAAAGAGAAACACTCAGAGGGATGTGTGAGTATGAGTTGAATGAATGGCTACAATAATTAATTGGGTATAAGATGCCATGTCGGGGAGAGCTAAATATTCAGGTATATGGTCTGTGAGGTTCCTGTTCTTCCTCTGGGAAGTCACAACTGAGTGAAATGACACAGAATCTCGACACTTTTACAGGCCATCCATAATGCATCTACAGATTAAAATTGAAGGCACACTTGAGGACCTATTGAGTGTGCATGCTTTGCACACACATGACACACACTTTCTATGCACATACAAACCTCCCATCAACCACCTACCCCCACGGCACACACTCAAATGTCTCTTCCAACATTGACAGCATCATATATGCAATACAGTCTACAGAGTGGCATTTCCCCTAGTCCCTTGCTGCTCAGGGCTCCCTGGCAAAGGGGAAGCTCCTCCAGGGTCAGCACCCCTGGGACCTGAGGGGTTTTTGGCCAAAGCTCTGTGGCTTAGATAGAGGCCATTATGGAGGGATGGGAGGTGGGGGTGGAGAAGTATAGACATGGTTAAAAGAAAAGTGTCCACAGCAGAACTGCCAGCAAACAACATTGGCAGATGAAATGACAACAAATGCCATCCAGTAGTGGTCCAACCAGGTTCTTTCTACTGTTTAACAAACAAGTCCTCCAACCTGTATGATAGTCCATTTGTCATTTCCCTCTCCTACAGCATCTCTGTAGCAGCATCTCCTACACTGACAACTTTTCCAACATTAACGATGGCATACAGTACGTTGCACCGGCAAACTTTACTGACTTTAATTGTCATGGAAAGAGCCATAGCGACAGCAAGTGTATGAGAATACCTTCATTATGGAACCTGTCAAAACTGTCATGCTGTTATGATTTTATTTTACTTTATTTTAAGACTAAGTGTTCTTTGTTGCGCCGTGCGGAGTGGCAGCAATTTACAGCAGCTGTGTCCTCGTTGTGTTCTTTTCCGTGTTTTTATGAAGTTCTGTTCTTATGTGTCTGTTCTTAGTGTGGTGTCTGTTCTTGTGGTGTTATGTTGGTTGTTCTCTATTGCTACTGTAACACAGAAATTTCCCCACTGTGGGATCAATAAAGTACCTACTTATAAAGGCATTACATTAAATTTAGGAACAAAAACAAGTTGATTAAGTTTGTGTGTGCTATGTACCAGCCAAACACCCCAACCTTCTTCTAACCTGGGACTTCATCCTTTGCTTATGTAATGTAATGCTCACTAGACTTCACCAAACTATAATACGTAACTGTTGGTTGTAACCACCTCCTGGCAAAAATGACTTCTATTAATTTTTTATAAAGGGTCTTGTTTAACTGCTAACACAGTGGAGCTACTAACTGACCTGTACTGCACTCAGTCCCACAGAGTAGAACAAATAAAGGTCACATAATTCCTGGTTCAGACTACATGATTTAAGCTTGACAACAGCCCAACCCGATGGTGGTAGGGCATCAGAACAAATACGTCAATGAAAAATGGAGATGAAAATTCATCATTTTATCTGGTATAGTGTGTCATATTAAATGACAACTGATGCTGCCTCTGGGTCACCTCACAGTGTCCCAACACAAAGTCAAGCATGTCAGAATTTTTTTTTCCATTGCCTGCGACCATCATATCAGACAAAAAAAATTATGTAGTCTGAACCATGGCCAGGGATAAACCAATTTAATAACCTTAAGTAACTCATCAAGGCTTAATTATGTTGTTTTGCAGTGCAAGGCTTCCCCTGCTAGACTCTCTTCTTTTTTGCTCAGTGTTCTGTTTTTCAGAGCCCTTATGCCAAAATCACTCTACCAGAAAAGACGTTTTTTTGCCTCTGCCTGTAGAGAGTTAACTGAAACTATGAGATTATTGCCTCCAGTAGAGCTGTGCCTCTGAGAAATGTTTGTTGAAATAAAACCCCAGTTTGCTTCATATTGTCCCTTACATTGTAGCTACATGTGATGATGATGATGATGCTCTTGTACACTGTGTTATTTGGGAAGAAAAGTGTCTGCTAATTACCTAAGATGCAAAAATGTACAATAAATGTTATCTTGAGTGGTATACTGAAGACCCTGGAGCTGAATGTCGCCTAGGATACTCAGCAACTTCTACAGCTACATTGTCGAGAGCATCATGACCAACTGTATCAGCGTGTGGTATGGCAGAACTGTTATGGACTGACAATGCCTGCAGAGAGTGGTGAAGACTGCTGAGAGGATCACCAGGACTCCACTGCCCTCTCTACAGAGCATCTACCACCACAGAGTTGCCTCAATCCTCAAGGACCCTACCCACCCCCAGGATGAACTGTTCACACCTCTACCCTCAGGGAGGAGGTACAGAAGTGTGAAAAGGAGGACTTCTAGAGTAAAGAACTCTTTCTTTCCCACTGCTATTGGGCCACGTTCACACTGCAGGCTGAAGTGGCTCCTAAATCGGATACATATCCAATGTTTTGCAATGCGACTTCAGTCTGAACGGCCAGGTTGCATTTCATGCAATTTTTATGTCATTGAAATGCAACAGACGTCACAATTCTGCGCTGGAGGAGGCAAGGCCATAAGCAATATTTGTGCTCTCCTTCTTCTTGATATTCTTCTTCTTATTATTTTTTTATTTCGATTGCACATTAACTGGTACAACGCTACGCACATGCTATCACGAGCCGCATCCATTTTTATTTTCCAAAACACAGTACGCTGTGTCTGATGTCACGTCCTCTTCTGCACATGCGGGTCACCTCAGGGCCGTATACCGTTCACACATGAGACAGATGGCAGTCACATTTAAATGACAGTGTGAACAACAGCGCAAAAAAATCGGATTTCGGCAAAAAATCCG